GCTTTCCTTTAATAATGATTTGTTTTAACTAGCAAACCACCATTAACAAACCAGTAAAAATGCAGAGCATTTCAAAGACCTAAGTTTGGTTTTGTGCACTGTGGAAGGCAAATTTAGTTCAGTTTACATGAGTGCTTTATGGACAGGAAGGCAGGATGTAAACCGAAATAACAATAATAACATTGAGATGTAAACCAATCTCTCTCATGCCTCTTAGGGAGTTAAGACAAGACATGATGTGGTGTCCTACCCTTGAGAAGAAGCTGTGTTGGAGATATGTAATAAGAGGACATTCAACACAAGGATAACCAGACATAGCTTTGATCATTCTTATTATTCTAGACAACACCAAGAAAAGGACAAAAAGAAACATGAAAACAGCAAGAGTTATATCTTGTTAATAACTGTCTTACGACTTTTTCTGTTGACTGGCGGCTAACCTTATTAAAGCCAGGCTGATAAGACATAATTGCTGTGTTCAGATAACATTATGACCAAATAAGCCATGTTATGATTTACTCTGATAGACTGGCTTACAAAATATGCTAAGAGAACTGCTGGGTCACCCACAGCAAGCTGAACCACAAACCATCCAATCCTATTTTAGGCTAGTGGGCTGTGTGAATCCAGCTAGCCCCATAACTTAAATTGTAGTTTCCAAATAACTAAAGAGATGTGGTTTCATCCATGTAAGATTTTTGAAGTAGAAAGGTGTTAAGACAGTGGTTCTCAACCTGTGGGTCGGGACCCCATTTGGGGTCGAACGACCATTTCACGGGGGTCGCCAAACAATGCAGTCCGCCATTTTTTCCCCGTTTTCCTTAGCTGTGCTACTCCTTTTTATTCTATTGGCTTTTGAAAGCCCGCCAAAAGTCCCATTGTGCAAACGGTGCTGCACCAGTTGAGTAGTCCTCGACTTACGACCGGTTGGAGGTCGCGGCATTAAAAAGGTTGAGAACCACTGTGTTAAGATTTTAGCTGGCCTAGAAACTACATTTTTTATTGGGAGGTCTTCAGCCCCTCAAAAATTTGGAGGTAAGCTATTTCTGCTCTCTGATGATGAGACGCAGGAGAAGAATTAGGAACAGGTGATAATTGATATGTGCTCATTGTTTTATAAGTTCCAGAAATGAATCTTAGCCTAAATAGTAGATTTAAGCTTCGGTTACATAGGAGAAGGAGTCGCAGAACCTTGGGGTGGAGATAAAAGAGAAATCAGCCTAGAATCCTTACATAGTCATAAGCGGACTAAGTTCAACCCTCCCCCCTTGAATTCTGTTGACTCTTATCTAACTCCATGCTGATGCTAACATTAGAGGGAAATATTCTTGTCCACGTGGCAATAAATCAATTTAATTGAACCTTCATGTGTAGACCTGGTCTTTTGCACCTGACCGATAGACTTTACTAGCATAGTCTGAAGGGTAAGGCTACATATTCTCTTAACAGTACAAAGGAGTACTGTATACTGTTTCAGATTCCATTTGTGAGACCACCACTAGTTGGATCTAGTAGAGGCAGATGAACTGAAATTGCATTCGCACATTTGCAAATCTTCTCAGAGTTTAGAGAGGCAGTTGGGGAGAGAAAGAAGTTTGCCATGTTTTTATCGTTTAGAAGATGTGCTCCTTGCCTTCTTTGTGGCCATTAATGCAAAGAGCAGCAGTGCCTCTTCCCTCAGTAGCCTGGTTGCTCTCCTGTTTTTCCACAATATTCCATTTCAGGTAATACTGTGCCTTAGTATGATTTCCAACTAAGCAGATCTGGCTTAAGCACATGATAAACACGAGCCACAGTCTTTGAGAAGGCCCCATAAGAGCCGAGGTAGTGCAGCAGTTTGAGTGCAGTACTGCAGGCCACTTTGCTGACTGTGTTCAGCAGGGCAGCGGTTCAAATCTCACCGGCTCAAGGTTGACTCAGCCTTCCATCCTTCCGGGGTAGGTAAAATGAGGACCCAGATTGTTGGGGGCAATGTAAATATATATATACATTGCTTACTGGTGTACACCGCTTAGAGAGTGCTTGCACTTAAAGCGGTATATGAGTCTCATAAATAAATAAATAAATAAATAAATAAATAAATAAATAAATAAATAAATATGAAGATGCCTGCATGCCCTTTAGGTAATGATGTTCTTGCCATGCTACTATCTTCAATCAAAGAGGAGTCAGATCTGTAGTTCAGATAGCCTTTGCTGAACATTGACTGTGAATATGCCCTTCTAAGTCAGAGTTTTATTGCCAGTCCCTGGTATTAACTGGCTTTGCTGCTGTTCCTTCTAGCTGGAGCTATAAGGTCCTCTGAACACTTCATGAGCTAAAGAAGGAACAAAAGAAGGTTAGACTTTTCCAAGTATTTCTTATTACCCCATCAATCGGACGTGGTTCCTATTGGTCTGACAGGCAAAGAAATGGAGGATGACTGTAGCATTAACGCTACAGTACGTGAGCATTTTACAGGGGAAAACTCCAAAAACATCTTGTCCAAGCTTCCTTTGAGTACAATTCCAGCACAACAATAAAGAATTTGTATGTGCACCCTTGATTTGCAAACTGATTAAATCAGGAAGTCAATTAACAAATCTGTAAAAAGCAACAGAGGTGTCATGTCCAATTTCTCAAAGCTGTCCCTTCATCCATGCATCACGTGGGCAAAATAACACAAATACCTGGCCAGCAAATCTTTTGAACTCTACAACAATTTGAGGAAAGCAATTCTTTACCTCTTTCCAGCAGTGGCTTCTAAATCTGCACACCATCTCAGTTTTGGAACCTATGCCACTTGTCTCACGTGCTGCTCTCATCTGTTTCTTAAGACAGTTACAATAATTCCAGTCCAGATGGCAGTGGCTTGGCCACAAGGCTAGGCTGGTACTTTATCTGGACTATGTCCATTGTAAGACTTGTGTACTTGCTCCCCGATTGTGTCCTTCCCCTCCTCGCTGGCTGATTCCTGTGTGGACCAGTCTACTAGTTTATGCCTTTTCCTTTTAGGGGCTATTCCCTCCCCACTACTCCTCATGTGTACATATGTGCCATACACATAAGTGCCTTCACCTCATTTCCCACCATATGTGCCTTGTCACTAATGTAGACTCTTTTTCGTTTTTCTTTTCCCTTTATGGCACCACCATAGCTGCGACGCTAGAATAACCAAAGCAATAGGGAATAAGTTGTCCTTTCATTCCTACATCCCTCTGTAAATCTCTGAAAACTTTGCAGCAAGGAAGAACTGTTCAGTATCCTAGAAACAAGACAGCAACTTTCTTACCGTGCAACCTAAAGATGTGTCATTTAAAAAATAAACAAAAGGCAAGGAAAGCTTTGCAGGTCTACGGATAGAAGGTGGGAAAGCAAGGGAAACGTCCTTCGCTCAGTCTGGCCAGAAAGTGAAAGTGTGCCCATTAGACAATGCAAGAATGGAAAAGAGTACGAGCTTCTATGGTTGAGGAGAGCTCATTGACTTAGACACTCAATGAGTCAACCACAAGATTATTTTAATCAAGCAACTGCCAACCAGTACAGAATATACAACCTGGTAATCCAGGGCAATGATTAGTCACAGGAGGGGAGAGGGAATGTCAGGCACTGCAGTGAATCAGAGCCTACCAGATCAGAATGAAGTACTGGAATGAAGCCACTAGCGTGGCTTGGTCAACCGTTTTGAATAAAAACTGGTGGGGTGTATTTGCAGTGGGCTGGAAGTGGAGCAAAATACCATCCATCCCTGCACTTAGCAAGTGGCAAGGGGCACATGTTAGCAATGGGTCAAGCAGAAGATGCAGATCTACCCTCATTTCTAGACAAGTAGTTCTTCTTCACCAATTTCTCCAAAGGAACAACAGTAGTTGTTTGCAAAATTCTCCTATGGCAGTGGTTCTCAACCTGTGGGTCGGGACCCCATTTGGGGTCGAATGACCATTTCACGGGGGTCGCCAAACAACGCAGTCCACCATTTTTTCCCCCTTTTCCTTAGCTGTGCTACTCCCTTTTATTCTATTGGCTTTTGAAAGCCAATAGAATAGACTCTCTTGAATAGAGTCTAATTCTATTGGCTTTCAAAAGCCAATAGGAATTGTCCAGGCTGTCTCTGCCCTGCTGAGCCCGCCAAAAGTCCCATTCTGCAAACGGTGCTGCACCAGTTGAGTAGTCCTCGACTGACGACCGGTTGAGTAGTCCTCAACTTACAACCGGTTGGGGGTCGCGGCATTAAAAAGGTTGAGAACCACTGTCCTATGGATACCTCAGCTGCTCTTGGGGCTGCCCTTTAATCCCTACACAGGTAGTATGTTGGGGGAAAGCTCTGAATGAAGGAGAAGGGATTAAACAACTCCTTTACCTAGGTTCTTGCATAAGAGAATGCAGCTGAGATACGTCATCAAACAGATATCCTCTAGGCCGGGGGCTTCCTCAAGATCCTCTGCTGGTTTGTCCTACATCTAATCTGTTAGACCCCGATTTTGATTTCCATTACAAAAAACCAAACACCAGCCAAACAAGCAATGCTTGGTTCTATGGAACTAAATCTGAGAGACTATAGTAATATCAGACATTGTCTGCATTAATAATAAGTGAATGATATTTACTGATGCATAATCAATATTGGAACACGTTTAAAATATTCAAAGCCTGCCTCTATTCAAACATCCTATAATTTCATCTCAGGCTGTCCAACACAATCAAATCTACATAATAGTTGTCAGACACTTTGAACTTGGCTATTACCAGCTCCTCCTGGTCACCAAACAAGCTCCATATCTGCCTCCTTTCACCTTTTCTAGTTCAGGAATTTTCTCGGAAGGCACAACTGAGGCCACACAGAATTTGCAGAAAGCCTTCACAGAGAGGAGCTGTTAATGGTTTTTTTGCAAACATCTGGACCATGCAATACGTTGATTTGCACCCAAATTATTAAGTGGATGAAGTTTCAAAGGCAACACTTTAAAAAAGTGAAGAAAAAAAAAAAAGCAGGCCATGGCTGAGTCTCAAAAGTTACTCACCTCTCTGTTTCCTGGCGCATTTCCTCCCGTTTTTGTCTCCTAAGCTCTCTGCGACGTTCAAAGTCGTCCATGATATATATTCAAGTTCAGATAAATCCTCCAAACCAGACTGAACTTGAGAAAGAGAGAGAAAGAGGGGGAAAAAAAGTCAGAATCAGACATGGATATGAAGCCTCCTATTAACAGAATCATACCCAAGTATAGTCATGTTCGCATCCACAGTTAAAACGATTCTCTAGAAGCACCAAACATTTTATTAAATGTTTAGCAAGTTTCTGTTTGGAAGTCAGCTTCCTTGCTGGAAATTAAAACAAAGTTGTAACATTTTACGTTTGATGAATGTCTTAAAAGAGCTATTTATGCTTACTGATGTCGTCCTCCTGCTATAAATGTTTAGCAAAATAATAATAACAGTTTTAAGTGAGATGTGCAAATTTGCTATTTTGATAACTGGAAACACAAAGGAGGCTATTTCATTGTAGCCTCAGGTTTGCACCATTGCAGATGCGCAACAGTCAGAAAAGAATTTGTTAATGGTCAAAAACAGTTTTCCAGCAACAAAATATTATCTTTCACTTTAATGCTACTTTCTTTGCTAATCACAAAGCTAAAAGCATGCTTTTTGGAAAGGTTAAAAATGAAAATTCCGCTGTCAGTAGGAACAAAAGAAAAGAAGCTAATGGTTAAAAATACCCTCCTTAGAAATGTTGCTCTAAATCCTCCTTTAAAAAAAAATTAAAACCGACACTTGAGATGCAGGAAGCAGTGGGGGGAAAAAAGAATTGGACAGATTGAAGCATCTGCAATTTAAATCTGCACCTACCTTCTTCTTGTAGGTTTACTCCATAAAATATTTGCTCCGTTATAGTTCCTTTATGCGCAAAACCCTTTCAGGCTTTGGTTTATATCCTATCGAGACAAATATAGGAGAATTCTCCTGCAGGCCCCCCCAACTAAAAATGACTACCAGAAAAGGGAAAGCTGTTCTCTTTTTGTCCCGGCTTTGTTTACAGAGCTGTCAGTGGTTAGTTAAACTCTGCCTGGAATCTAGCATTTAAGGCCTGCTCCAAGAGCGTTTCCTGTGTTGAGCTGGAGGCCCTCAACTTCCTTTGGAATTCTAGCCTAGACTCCGCTCTCAGGGTGCTTTTTCTTTCTTCCCCTTTTTTTTTTTTTTAAGTAACTTTCCCCTCCTTCTTTCAAAATTTCCAAATCTTTATGGCAGTCCAAATTCAGGCTTTTTTTTTTTTTACAGTGAATTTAAACTGGGCAAACGTGAGATAAACACACACTGCTAGTCTAAAGAAGCAAAAAGGATCCTGCGTTAATGAGCACTTGTTTGCTGATTATTAAGGGATCTCTCTCTCTCTCTCTCTCTCTCTCTCTCTCTCTCTCTCTCTCTCTCTCTCTCTCTGTGTTGTGTGTGTTGTGTGGTATAGGTAGTCCTCGACTTACAACCATTCATTTAAATGTCCAAAGTTACTGAAAAAAGTGAGTTATGACTGTTTCTCACATGAGAGTTGCAGCTTCCCTGTGGTCACGTGATCAGAATTCAGATACTTGCAATTGGCATGTATTTATGATGGTTGTCGTGTCCCAGGTCATGTGAGCTTCTGACAAGCAAAGTCAAAAGGGAAGTCAAAGTCACTTAACAACCATGTGACTACCTTAACACCTGCAGTGATTCACTTAAGAGCTATGGCAAGGAAGGTCATAAAATTGGGCAAAACTCATTAAACCACAGTCTTGGGCTCAATTGTGGTAATAAGTTGATGATTACCTGTATTCGGTCTCATAGGATTACTCGGGAGAAGGCAGTGGGGTGGAGGAGAATGATATAATCATTGCTGATCCTTAATACTTAAGCACAGTAGTACAATATAGCATTATTGTATATGTATATAAAAACATATACAGGTAATCCTGGACTTAACAACCGCTCATTTAGTGACCATTCGGAGTTACAACAGCACTGAAAAAAGTGACATGACTGCTTCTCATACGTAGGATCATTGCAGCCTCCCCAGGATCACGTGACTCATGTTTATCACAGCTGCGGTGTCCCTGGGGCCACATGATCACTTTTTGTACCCTGACAAGCAAAATCAATGGAGAAGTCAGATTCACTTAACAACATGTTACCAACTTAACAACTGCAGTGATTCACTTAACAACTATGGCAAGAAGGTCATAAATGGGGCAAAATTCACTTAACTGTTTCACTTAGCAGCAGAAATATTGGGCTCAATTGTGGTTGTAAGTCGAGGACTACCTGTACAACATCGCACTGGGCATCTGGAGTGCCCACCTTTATACAACATATTCTCCACATACATACCTAAGTGAAGTTAGCATATCTTTACTTATTTTCTGGAAGTCCCTCAAGGCCTGGCTATGTCATCAGGCCTGGAGATCCCAGGAGACTGAGGAAACCTTGAGGTGGTTCCATTATTAATATTAAATCTCCTGTATGCCTTATGATTTTTAAAAGCTTTTTAATAATGACAGCTTTTTAAATACATTTATTGTTTGTGTCTTGTTGTAAGGTGCCTATTTTTGTGAGATGGACAGACATATACATTTAACCAATAAAATCTGACTTTAATGCCTGTTTTCATGACGAAGAAATTATATCGGCCCACAGGTGGTGGGACAAGGAGTAAGAATCGCCGAATACTACAATTGGAGGACACCAAGTCCAACCCTTTGGGTCAACACAAGAATGCAAATTAAAGATGGCTGTCTAGCCTCCACCTGAACACATCCTTTGAAGCAAGACAACTCTTACAATAATTGTTTCCTGCTCTTACTCAACTCCTCTCAAGGTATTTATTCTTTTGTTTAATAAAATGCATACTTTTAGAACGAGCTTGAAACCCGATTAAAGGATCATATTCAACTGAACAATTATTGACACAAAGAAGTGGACCTTATAAATTGGGGCTTTCCCATCTGGATACTCCTCACCTGAGGGTTGTCATCTGTGAAGTTGTCAACCTTCTACTAGTTGTTCCCTTCTACTTTTTTGAATTGAACATCAACTGCAAATAGTTAAGGCCCACATGTTGTGGCCATAGCAGCAAAACATGTTAGCCTAGACCAGCGGTAGGTAACCTTGGCTCTTTTATAATTCATGGACTTCAACTCCCAGAATTCCTGAGCCAGCCGGCCTCAGGAATTCTGGGAGTTGAAGTCCACGAGTCATAAAAGAGCCAAGGTTGCCTACCCCTGGCCTAGACCCACTTCAGAAAAAGTTATGGACATGCTACAAGGCGTTAACACCGCTAAACAGGCATGTATAAATGTACCTGGGACTACAGGAGCCAGAGATCCCTACAAACCTTCTGAAGAACATGTAGAGTATGCAGTGCAACCATTCCTGATGACCATTAGGTGATTTTTGGCTACTTCCTTTCTCTGTGCTTGATCTACCTCAATGTTTCCCAAACCTGACAATTTTAAGGCATGAGGACTTCCTGAATTCTGGGAGTTGAAGTCCACATGCCTTAAAATTGTCAAGTTTGGGAAACACTGATCTACCTCATCAATGTTTTGTCATGGGGATAAAATGGGATAGAGAATTTCCCCCACACCAAGGGAGTGAATATAATACAATAGTAATATTTCATAACGGCCTTCAGCCCAGTACAAACTTATAGTATATCATGCTAATCATAAATAATCAGGTTTGGTTTACTGTAGAATTAAGAGTATAATACCTGGGCTGCAACAATTTGGATGGTCCTAAGATGGCGGATGAGATACACAAAGCTCTTAGTTATCTATTGACACCTAGTGCTCATCTGAATTTTTGCAGTCCCGGTATGGAAGTTGTGTGAAACCAACCATTGTGTTTTTTTATATTATAGTTTACTGCTTACCATATCACGGCTCATTTTTACAACAAAACTCATGGCTTACTGAGAGTGATATGTTTAACTGGTCCCTAATGAAGATCCAGGGACAATTTGAAAACTAACATTGACTGTAATTACCAGGAGCAAAATCTATTCATTATAGGTCATATCTAGACCTCTGAAGTAGTTTTGGGACAACCACTGCTTATCATTGCACCCCAAAATTGTAAGAAAGGATCTAATGTTTGTTAGTTAATATTATTTCATTTTATTTTTAAAAAAATACATGCTGTCATCCCAAACAAAGTTTCCTATAAAGCTTTTACATTATGACATCTCAATCATACATTTTTTTTTTCTATTTTGTTACAACCCCAATCTTGTCCCTAGTAAAATCCAAATGATCAGCTGGAGATGGTGGTTAGAATGTGGTGTTGGAGGCTAATTCAGCTCACTGCCAGGAGTTCAATCCTCTGCAGCTCAAGGTGAACTCAGTCTTCCATCCTCCCAAAGTTGGTAAAATGAGGACACAGATTGTTGGGGGCCATATGCTGACTCTGTAAACTGCTTAGAGAGAGCTGTAAAGCACTGTGAAGCGGTATATAAGTCTAAGTGCTATTGTTATATCCTTTGAAAAAGCTTTCATTCATCAATTACCATGCTATATCAAACATGGTTCTATTGTATCAAACTGGTGATAAGAAATAAGTGGTCCCCAACCCCTGGTTCATGGACTGGCACCAGTCCGTGGCATGCCATAAACTGGGCCACGCAAACAAGCAAAGTCCCATCCAGTGGATGCAGGCAGCATGTGAAACCACACCTCCTCCGGTCCATGGAAAAACCTCTTTCCACGGAACAAGTCCCTGGTGAGGGACCACTAGTCTTGCCTATTAAGATGTTTAGGATCTCTGGCAATTCCTGCTTGACATTATGTTTTGCCATGGAATACTTTTTTTTGGTAGAACGTCTCAATGACATCATATACAAAATATAGCAATTAATCACTTTAAAGGCTGTATTGTTCTCTTTCCTTCCCCCCCCCCCCCAGTGCTGTCTGGCATTTTGGCAATGGAGCAAAAATGTTCAGTCTTGAATGCATTCACTGTATTGTTTCCACAGTCCCTAATTCCTGGTTATGCTGCATCTACTAGGACCCATAGTTGGTTGACTCCAATAGGAGTCAGAGGTCATTGGGCTATTTTGTGTTTTTTTTCCTGCCAGCTAGGCCCACCTGTGGGGCCTGGTCAAGGACAGACTCTGGTGTAGCACTGGTCTTTAGCCCCAAACATATATACTGTCTTTCCAGATTATTCTTTGTTGGTCTAAAAGTAGGTTTGTTAGAGACAAAACTTAAGTTCCTGTGGATTGGCTTAACTGTCTGCCTGGATGAGTAGGGATACCCCAACAGAACAATTAAAGAGCAGCTATGCAGAATATCCCCCCCCCATCTATCTATCTATCTATCTATCTATCTATCTATCTATCTATCTATCTATCTATCTATCTATCTATCTATCTATCTATCTCTATCTCTATCTCTATTTCTCTATCTCTGTCTCTATCTTTATCTTTATTTCTCTATCTCTGCCTCTGTCTTTCTCTATCTTTATCTCTCTGTCTCTGTCTCTAGCTCTAGCTCTATCATCTCATTTAGGCTTCCAGATCTATCTCTTCAAATAGGTATTCAGGAACTGCCCGGCTAAGACATACAGTCATCAAACAAATCCAGGTTAAGGTGTGTTCCAGCTTACTAACAGCCATCCGCTTCAGGCCTACTTCAGTCATTCCCATTGTAGCCATTTATCATCCTAGCACCAATTCACTGCCAAAGGTCCTCCAGAATCATCCCAGTCATCCTTACAGTTGGTCCTCAACTTATGATCATTTTTAATGACCATTGAAGGTTACAAAAATGACATAGGACCGGTCCTCTCACTTATGACTGTTACAGCATCCAAATTCAGGTACTTGGCAACCAGTATGTATCCCAGCGTGATCACTATTTGCAACCTCAGCTTAACAACCATGTGATTTGCTTAATGATTACAGCAAAGAAAGAATGTATAATTGGGCATGACTCACTTAATAACAGCATTACTTAGCAACCAAATTCCAGTCCCAATTGTGGTCATAGGTCAAGAATTACCTATATTTCGTTGCTGCAAACTAACCCTTCTGAAATAGAAAATAATAATACAGTTGATAGAGCATCATTTCAGAAATCAGACTTCCAAGTGAAATTATCCAATCCGTTGAGGCTGATTGGACTGAAGTCATAAATCCAATTTAAATAGCCAAAGCAAGGCACT